CTTGGTTTTACAATCTCTGCCAGATAGTTATTCACAGTTCATTATGAATTTTAACATGAATAAGATCGAATGCACACTCTCTGAGTTGCTTAATATGCTTAAAACTGTGGAGCTCAATGTCAAGGCTAGCACTGGGCATGTCTTAACTATTCATTCCTCCAAGGGAACTAAGAGGAAAATCAAAGAAAGTTTTAAGAAAACATCCAAAAAGGCTAAAGGCAATAACAAAGCAGTCAAAGCAGGCAAGGACAATACCAAATCTGATGACCCATGTTATCACTGTGGAGTGAAAGGTCATTGGAAGAGGAACTGCAAGGCTTACCTCGCAAGTTTGAAGGGAAAGAAGTCTTCTGAAGCTTCTACTTCAGGTCCTTTTGTTATCGAGGTTACTATGTCTACTTCATTAGCTTCTTGGATATTAGATACCGGATGTGGATCTCATATTTGTATAAATATGCAGGGACTAAAGAGAAGTAGAGCACTGCAGAAAAGAGAAGTTGACCTGCGCGTGGGAAATGGAGCAAGAGTTGCTGCATTAGTTGTAGGGACATACTTCTTACCACTGCCTTCAGGCTTAGTATTAGAATTAGAAAATTGCTATTTTGTTCCCGCCATTACTAAAAATATTATTTCTATTTCGTGTTTAGACATGAGTGGTTTTTCAATTAATGTTAAGAACAATCGTTGTTCATTTTATAAAGATAAGTTCTTTTATGGTTGTGGTGTGTTGCAGAATGGAATTTATATTCTTGATACTGAGTCGTCTATTATGAATATAGAAAATAAAAGGCATAAAATTGATAATCTAAATAATACATACCTTTGGCATTGCAGATTGGGTCATATTAACGACAAACACATTTCCAAGTTGCATAAAGATGGATACTTAGGGTCAACTGATTTTGAATCATTTGACAGATGCGAGTCGTGCCTGTTAGGCAAAATGACCAAGTTCCCTTTTACTGGAAAAGGAGAAAGAACCACAAAACTGCTGGGACTAATACATACTGATGTATGTGGACCCATGTCAATAACTGCCAGAGGTGGTTTCTCTTACTTCATCACATTCACTGATGATCATTCTAGATATGGTTGTGTGTATCTGATGAAATTCAAGCATGAAGCACTTGAAAAGTTGAAGGAATTCAAACTTGAAGTAGAGAAACAAACTGGTAAAAATATACTCACCCTGAGATCAGATCGAGGTGGAGAATATTTAAAGGGAGAATTTTTAGATTATCTTAAAGAGAACGAGATTCTCTCGCAGTGGATTTCGTCATATACACCGCAACATAATGGTGTATCTGAACGGAGGAATCGCACTTTGTTGACATGGTGCGATCTATGATGAGCCATGCAAACATCCCAAAATCATTTTGGGGTCATACACTAATTGCTGCGTGCTACACAATTAATCGTGTCCCATCTAAATCGGTCGACAAAACTCCATACGAGTTATGGAGAGGAAAAAGACCAAACTTATCTCGTATGAAAGTTTGGGACTGTGACGCTTATGTAAAGCGAAATGAATCGGATAAGCTTGAAGCTAAATCTGACAAATGTGTATTTGTGGGATATCCAAAAGAGACAATTGGATATCAATTCTATAATCCCGTTGAGAAGAAAGTGTTCATCTCAAGGCATGCCATATTCCTAGAGAAAGAGTTTATTCTAGGAGAGGGTAGTGGGAACAAACTAGAACTTGAAGAAGTTCAAGAATCCACGGACACTGTTGACCAATTAGATGAACTTGAGTCTGATCCTACACCTGTTGATGGACAGACTCTTGATCAGGATGTAGAGAACCCTGAGGATACTCCAGCTCAGCGTAAATCTAGCAGGATCATTCGACCTCCCAGAAGGTACGAATTCACAATTACTAATCAAGTATTAATAACCAAGGATGATGAACCTACAAATTACACAGAAGCAAAGTCAAGTGTTGATTCGAAGAGATGGCTAGATGCCATGGAATCCGAAATGGACTCAATGTATCAGAACAAGGTTTGGACCTTGATCGACCTTCCAGATGGGATAAAACTGATAGGTTGTAAATGAGTTTACAAGAAAAAGGTCGATGTGGATGGAAATGTCCACACATACAAAGCAAGGCTAGTAGCGAAAGGTTACACACAAAGACAAGGTATTGACTTTGATGAAACTTTTTCGCCTGTAACCATGCTGAAGTCCATTCGAAATTTGCTTGCAATAGCTGCATACCATGATTATGAGATATGGCAAATGGATGTCAAAACTGCTTTCCTTAATGGAAACTTGCAAGAGGAGGTGTACATAACACAGCCTGAAAGTTTTGAATCCAAAGGAGCCAACAAAGTATGCAAGCTAAATCGATCCATTTATGGATTAAAGCAAGCCTCTAGGAGCTGGAATCTTCATTTTGATGAAACAATCAAAAGGTTTGATTTTATCAAAAATGAAGATGAACCGTGTGTTTATAAGAAAACAAGTGGGAGCGCCATCGTATTCCTGATATTATATGTCGATGACATATTATTAATGGGAAACGACATCCCAATGCTTCAATCGGTAAAATTATGGTTGTCAAAGAATTTCTCCATGAAAGATATGAGAGAAGTAACATATATCTTGGGAATCAAGATCTATAGAGATAGATCTAAAAGATTAGTAGGCTTATCTCAATCTTCGTACATAAATAAAATCTTGAGAAGATTTAATATGGAAGAGTCTGAAAGAGGATTATGTCCCATGTCACATGGAATTTACCTCTCAAGAGATATGTGTCCTAAAACACATGATGAAAGGAGTCACATGGACAAGATTCCTTATACTTCGGCGATAGGATCTATCATGTATGCGATGCTATGTACAAGACCAGATGTTTCGTATGCTTTAAGTGTTACGAGCAGGTTTCAAGCAAACCCTGGTGAGAAACACTGGATAGCGGTTAAGAACATTCTTAAGTACTTGAGAAGGACTAACGATGTGTTCTTGATCTATGGAGGAAATGAACTGAAAATTCAGGGGTATACTGATGCTAGTTTTCAAACTGATAAATATGATAGCAAGTCTCAGTCAGGATATATGTTTACTCTCAATAATGGAGCGGTTAGTTGGAAAAGTTCCAAACAGAAAACAACCGCTGATTCAACAACAGAAGCCGAGTACATAGCTGCTTCTGAAGCAGCAAAGGAAGCTGTGTGGATCAAGAAGTTTATTAATGAACTTGGAGTCGTTCCTAGCATTGTTGATCCCATACATTTGTATTGTAATAACAATGGAGCTATCGCGCAAGCGAAGGAACCGAGGTCTCATCAACGATCCAAACATGTGCTAAGGCGATATCATCTCATCAGGGAGATTATACAAAGGAATGACGTAACGATAGAGCGAGTTCCCACAGATGATAATATTGCAGATCCATTGACAAAGTCGTTGTCACAACAGAAACATGATCGTCATGTGGATGCCTATGGAATTAGATACGTGAGTGATTGGATCTAGTGCAAGTGAGAGTTTGTAAGTGTTATGCCCTAGATTCAATCGATTTAGGTTGTAAACGCTTTTAATATATTTAATGCATTTGATTTTGGCGAGATCTATTTATTTAAATTAATTTTGTGATAAATAATATTAAATAATAGAATCCGAAAATCCAATTTTTAGGTAATCTGTTAATCACAAGGAGTTGTGATTGTGAGATACAAATTACATATAATTGGATCTTGAATAAACCATGGTCGTAAGTAATAACGAGATACGGATATCGTTAATACAGTTAGACCATCACGTGTGGCATTTCTTACTTGTGAAGTAAGTAGCTGATCTCACGAGTTAAAGTGTGATGACACTTACATGAACACGTGGATGTTTTGTTATAGAACAAAACATTGGAGACCCGCTAAGAGATTCCACATGGATAACTATCTGAGTGTCAGTGGTTAATTTCTAACGTTCGGTAGTGGAATTGGTCCTTTGACTTGAGGTCGTCATGGTACCTTATATGAGGACAGTCATACTTTGGCGGTATTGGATGTTGCTCTGAAAGGAGCCGCTAATACGACATCGTTCGGGTACGTCAAGAACCGTATGAAGGTTGTGATTGATCAATAAAGGATTCGTCACTCTTAGATATTAGGAGATTATGATCTGCGTTTCATTCAATTAAGTCGATGATGAAATCCTTGGTCAAGGTGTACTCATAAGTCGAAAAGGAGTTTTCGATTTATATTGACTTAATAGTGGCGTGAAAGATATGATCAATGATCGATATTGACATAATTCCATATCTCGTAATTGATCGGATCGTATTGACGAAGGGATAATAGTTTCACGGTAAACGAACGAATTTGGTTTTGTCATACCACGTGACATTTTTCGTTACATGTATTGCCCTGACACATTGCTAGATGTTAATCAGGGACGGCGAGTGTGAATTAACGATAAATTAAAAGGGTGTATTAATTTATCAATTTTGATTAGATCAAAATAATATTTCACGACGTTAGGCATCGTGGTCGGGAACCTAATGGGTCGCACACAAAAGAGAATTGGAAGATTGCAAATTGCCAATTGGTTAATTTAACAATCGTTGGATAAAGTAATTAATTGAATTTGTTATTTATATTCCCGAATTAATTAATTGGATTAATTAATTCATGGTTCGAATTTAATTAATTGAATTAATTAAATATTGGACCGGATCGGGCCGGGTCCGTTTGGGTTTATATATATACATAACTAGGGTTTGAGGTCCATAAGGTTTTCATTATTCTTGCTGGCACAAGAGAGAAATCCTAGTAGTTGCAGTCTATTCTCTATGTAGATTTCATTGGAGACTGGACAATTGGACAGCTGTGGGAGGTAGATTCAAACTGCTTGAAAGGAATAACGCGAAGGAGTTTGCAAATTACAAGAAAAGGTATATTTCTTATCACAGTTTTTATCTAAATACAAAGTTGAATCCTAAATGGGAATTGAAATTTGTTAAAATCCGCTGTACATGTTTAAGTAAATTCCCAACAGATTTCCCATGGCGTAATTTGATTGGCAGAAACTGAAAAGGAATTGATCCATTTGATGGGCTGTGAGCACCTGATCACAACCCTTGATTAGTGAAACAAGTTGTGGTTCTTTGGCGGGTTCTATCAGTATGGGCCGCCTACAAGGCCCAAGCCTGACTGCCTGTAATAATTGAACTTGCAACAATCACTTATTTGGGAAATTTACTCAAATAAATTATATTGTGGGTTCGAGAGGCAGGTGTTTTTCATATACATTAGATAAACATACAATTTAAAAGATAAATAAGACCATTTTGTTCCAGTCAAGGTACTGTAGTTCACAAGTAGAAGGCACTCTAGCATTAAGCCATTAACTACAAGCATAGTCGATTCTTTTTGTCCCATCATAGAGAAACAGCAAAGAAAAGGTTATATATGCACACGTGGTACGCCATACATTTAAATCACGACATCTCAAAATTTGAATCATTCAAAATGATAACGAAGAGAAAATAAAGTGAATGGAAGATGCTGAGGTATTGTGATTGAATGAACGGTCCTATTATGTGTGCATATAAAACTGTTATACCAAAACTTTTATACCTATGATAACCCCCATTAATCATCATTAATTCTACTTTTCCTCGCTAAATCACGAAAATTTTTCCTGGGCAGATTGTACCGGGATTTATTATACATATAACACAGGCATATACAGCTAGAACAAGAATTAATCTAAAATAGAAAAACATGTCTATATAGCAAAGATTTATATTAAGTCCAGTTCTCCATTTCCAATATATCCAATTCTACATCTTGCTAAACACGGCGTAATTAATATTAAAAGGGATCTCTCAAATAGAAACCTTAAAATGCAGTCACAGGGATACAAGCTTTAATACTCCCCTGCCTGCCTCAATAAAGTTACAATTTTAAAGAAAATGCACACACTTTAAAAGGATAAATGTAAATTAATATAGCATGTAATTTACAATCAACATAAATTATTAAATGTAAATGTAGTGTCTATGTAAAAGAACATCCACACAAAAAAGTTACATAAAATTGCGTACAAGTAAAAAATTACAGAAAACTTATAACAAAAATAACAGATTTGAAGAATATTCACTTGGTTTTTGAAAATAATTTAGTCTTGTTTTTGTAACGTACTTCTTAATTCATTCTATTTTTTTATTTGGTCCCCAAAATGTTTCTTGTTGCGTAATTAACTCTTTTTAAATTGAAATTTAATAAAAAAAAAAAAAAGAAGAAGAAGAAGGTAGGAATAGCTTGTTTCTTCATACTTCCACCAATGCAGGCATTGATTCCATCAAGAATTTTATTTTTATTTCATGAGAATGAAACCAGTAGAAGTTTAGAAACAAAATATTTCCATTGATAATGGGTCCGTTTGATTGTGAAAATGGAATTTGGGTGGAAATAAAACGAATTCCAGGGATTAAATTGCCCAGAACTTGTTTTATTAGAAATTGTCAATTAAATATGTTTTATTGGTATAATTTTTCACCTGAAAAATATTAAAATTTTGGATTTTTGGTGTTCGTTTGACTTTATTATTCATGAAAATGGTAAATTAAATAGATAGATATTTTTACAATTGTCCTTAAAATTTGTTTCCATTACCAAAATAAATAAATACAATTTGGAAAAGCCAATTCTCACCAAAAAATAATGGGAATTGGTTTTCCTCCAATTCATGGAATTTGAGGTCACGTGGGGGAAGAGAGAAATTGAATTCCATGGAAAACTTTTACAATCAAACAACAAAAATGCGGAAAAATGGAATAAAAAAAAATTCCATTTTCCATGGAAAATATTCCCTATCAAACAGGGCCTTAATTCTACTTTCTTTCTGGAGAAATAGAGTATTTGCTAAATTTGTTGACATCGCTACTTTCATCTCACCCCTAATTAAATCTTTTGTAAGTCTTTTTAGAGAAATAGTCTATCCATTTTAGTACATTTCTTCGACGAAAGATAATTACAATAAAAGTACTGTTCCAGAATGCAATTAATATAAATTGAGCAGATAATTTTAGAAAGATGCAAAATGAGTAATTATAGCTAGCCAACGAAAGATATATTACATTAATTTGCACGTTGATCCCGACCCATACACCAAGAAATATAACACAATACAAAGTGCTTAGATTGGAGTTCGTTGCATCTAGTTATACTTGAGAAGCCTGTCAAACAAAGAAAACAAAAAGTAGTCGCTCATTATATTAAACATAAAGAGCGTTTGCATACACGAGAAATTATAAATAAAATAAAACAAAACCCTAAATTTAATTTTGATTATCTACGTAACGGTACCTTCGTTCTTGATCAGCAGAGCCATTGCTTCCATTTTTCATGTAGTTGGGTATTGGGACACAACCGGATTCTATACGCTGGAGATCCTCAAGAAGGACCTCATAGTGTTTCTTGACTTCCTCCACCGTTTTTCCACCGCCTACAGCCCTAGCAATGTTCTGCCACCGGTCGGGTGTGTCCCTATCGAATTGCGCCAACGCCTTTTCGAAGAGCTTGTTTTGGTGGGACGTCCATGATGATTTAAGAGAGCTTGATGCCATGCCTTAATATTGGAGTATTTCAATTTTCTATTCAAGGAAAGAATTGTCGTAAATCGAAGAAAAGAACCTAAGGTATAAAAGAAAAGGGATGGAATGGGAATGAAGTTTGGCATGTGGGTTGCTTATAAACTGAGGGGAAGAGGGTTTGGGGGGGGGGGTTAAGCCAGTTGGCGAATCTATATTAGGCTAAAGTTGAAATTGAGTGACTCGCTGGTTTTGCAACCACAAGGTGAAGCTGGATAACGCATGCATGCATGTAAAATTGTAAAATTATAGTTATTAACATGGTGTGAAGCCAAAAATATGTTTAGTGATCAGCATTATTATTATTTTTAAAATCAAAATATATAGGAAATGTGATTAGAAAGTGGATATGGGATTCTTATTGATAAGGGATTCTTGAACACAAATTTTATGTTAGATGACTCTTTCGAGCTTCAAACTAAAGATTATGACCCAGAGTCGAATATTGTCCATTCTAGTCAAAATCAAAAACAAAAACTTCAATATCAAAGAGTCTGATCAAAAGTCAATCTGTTTAAATGCATATTGGATGATATTGATTTATGGATTCTGTTTGTACTCATTGGATCTTGTTACACCCATCAATCCCCTAGCCAAGTTTGATTCCGCTAGTAAGAACCACCTAAGACCTGTATTGAACCGTCGACTATTAGATATTCCGACTTGTAATGCATAATTTTGACGATGGGAAGTGATGAGAAAGAATTTTGCAATTTTCTCAACATGTAAAATCTTTTAAATATCAGGCTTCGGCCCCAGTGCATCAGTGGCATTATCTATTTTGGACACATAAGGGAAGAAATTCTCTGTTGAGTTTTTGTATTTCAGATCAGACCTTTGGAATTGGTGTATTGGACTTTGCTTCTGAAACAATACTCCAAAACTCTTACCTGTACGATGTATAGCTGCCCCATCAATGAACCTGAACGGCGAATTACTCAACCATATAAAGACAAGCATGCTTGCTTGTTTGATTCTGCTGGTAAGGGCTTGTTTGATAAAATTACTTTTTGCTAAAAAGCTGGTTAAATTTAATTTTTAACCCCAGATTTCATTTCACTTACAACTTTTATTCATTTTTTAATCACATATTTTATGGAACCTACAAACTTTTATCAGCTAAAAATCTAAATCAAATAGACCATAAATTTGGAGACAAGGGAATATATGCCTTTATCAGCTATGCATGGATTCATCTTGCTAAACAACATAAATAAATTGTACATTTATACTTCATCTTTGTCTTACTCTATTACAGATTTTTGATTTTTTTTTTTTTTATTGTTTGTCTTGTTCATTGGATTGATATTCAAAGGATTTAAAAAAAAAAAAAAAGTATATACATTTGATCAATCTCAAAATATTGTTGTGTTCTTTGTTTAGCCATGCTTCATTTTGGATCGTAGAGATCAGGGTTTCAGTCATGCCTAGCTCCTGGTAGAAGTGACAAGGGAGAGTTTGTTAGGCTCGAGGTGACATGCAGTGGTTGTGAACATCCCAGTCTAGATAGGCATGTCGTGTCAGGTTTGGCTCTAAACTCGCAACCCATGCATGTGGAAATTTTCACTTACATTTCTCCTACACACAATGTAGATTGGGTCCTTGGTATCCTTTGTGGATATCCCACATGAATTTTATGATGAGGGTGGGGTTCTAAACCTCCTCTACCCCATGTTGAAATTCCAGAAAAAGCCTCCACAATTTCAAAATCTCCCTCACAAATAGCATGTTCTCTCCGGTTAGGATGAAATTTCATTTGATTCGCGTTTGATTAAAAAAGTGCTCAAAAGATAAGGCATTGGCGAAACTCCACTATAAAGGGGAAGCTAAGTTTCGTGTCATTTTGCAAGGTCAAACCAAAACCCAGCTTGTGCCGGATCAATACCATGTATTCTAATACTTTCTAACATATTTGCACCGTTTCTCAAATTGAAAATTTGGATCACTAAAATCTTGCAAACAAAGTTCTACCTCTATATATGTTGTATCCTTTTCAAGAATCAAAGCACAGATCTTACTTTGTTGGATTCGATTTAAAGAATAAAAGCCCTTTTTTGATGACTTGGACATGTTGGTCCATGCTATTACCATATAAGTATATATTTTTATGCTATTGAAAAGAGAATATTTAAATGATAATATGCAGAATTGGGACAAAGATGTAGGAAACTGGAATAATGAATATTCTTTGGTGATCATAAATTCCATATACAGATATATGATTCCGTTTTGAATGACAATAAAAAGAAATCTATTGTTCATGTTTGTTACGTAGTATTAAACATAATTGAACATAACACTATAATTTAAACGATTTTATTTTATTTTTTGTCTAAAAATAGTAGATGAATATATCTTTTCGAGATTACTTTTGACTTTCCCTTTAGTGTGACAAGTTCGTAATGAATGTCCTATTACGCTCTTAATTTCTGAAGAGGGATAGATTCTACAATTAAGACGAAAGGAAGTTGGAACTTTAGTGGCTTCGTTATTAGTTTAGTTGATGGTCCTTTGAAATCTACGAGTTGATTGAGCTAAGAGGACATAATTAATAGAAGACATCCATTTTGTTTGGAGATAAAATCATATTAAGTCTCTTGAGGAGATTAAAATTAGATTTTAGTAGATTTTGATAAAATATGATAAAATATGTACTTGAAAAGTTATGAGATTCATTTAATATTTGGTAAAATTAATTATTGCCTTTTTTTTAAATTTAAATACAAATTTTGATCACTATTAAACAGGGGCTAAATCACTGGTCGAATTGATTAGGTGATCTCATCCGTATCTTGAACTTATCTAACCAAGTTTTGGTGGTTTTGGGTTGACCCATTTCAATTGAACCAAATTATAGTCCATTAGTTGCGGGCATTTTACACGAGTGGAAATTACACAGGACTGTTTTTGAAGTATAAATTTCGTAAATCATATTTTAAGTTTAATATTTCAAAATTCAGGTTATAATTAATTATTTAATACATGTATTAAATAAATATATTAATAGTAATTCACTCACCTCTATCACCTCCACACCCATCCCTTGCTAAATTATGCTCTTCGTTTGGTAGCATTTTTTAACCCAAAAAAATCAATTTTTTTTATCGTTATTTCACTATTCCAACTGTCATTTTGACTACTTTACTTACAGGTGGAACCCACATTTTTTTTCTAACGATCAAAAAATCAATTCTTATAATCATTACCGAACATACACTATATCCTTTTTCTCGTTCCTTTCTATCTCCTGCTTTCTTTCATCTCTCTTTCTCCATGAAACCCCTTGCATTCTCTCTATCTTGTTCCATTATCGTTCGAAACCAATATCTACATCCACACAGGACCATCAAACTGCACGCAGCATGTAGTGGTGTGCGTTGAAATCGATGTGTGCTTCGAAATCTGTTTGATTTTAAAACATACATAGTTACTACTTCCTAGCCTCAAAATATCTATATATTTCATTTTTCACTGTCGAAATTATTTTAAATTAGGCAGAGCCCATTGCATTATTTTTTTTCATGTCGTGAATCAATATTTTTGGAGGTCTGAAAATATTTGAATTTTGAGAAAATCCATTTCGCCATTTGTTCAATTTTAGATTTTCAAATATTTAACATGAGCTCAAGTGGGCCATTGTTGCATGTAGAAGATAAAGTTTAATGTTTGTTTCAATGATAAATCCCACTCGTTCCCATTTCGACGTCACTCTCCCATCTTCTCTATTTGGTATGATTTAAAAAAAATTATTATTCATATCTTCTGATTGCATTTATCATAAATTTTATGATATTATTTTTTTAATCGTTCTTGGAGAACCCTTTTATTCGGAGTTGGGATGTAAAGATTTCCTTCCTGCTTTTTTCTATACATTCTCGATCGTGCAGATTTGAGACTAGTATTCATTCTGATTGCAGTTTACAATTTATCATTTACTGGGAGTTTTGGGGTAATTTTTGGTAGTGGTGGTGGTGTTCGTGTTGATGGTATTGGTGGTTGTGGTTTCTTCTTTCTCCAATCTGATCAGATCTTAGCAGAAGTTTTAGGGTGGTTTTTGTTGGTAGATATTCATAATCTGCAAATGATGATAGCAGTGCTAGCGACCTATGCACAATGACTTATTGATATAGAACTGGTGGTGGCGATAGGTCACAAGTCCTTGTGCATTGGATACAGATTAAATAGAATTGATCACAAATCATTAATTTATGTTCATAGGTCACACTTCATATGTCACATGTTATATTGTTTATGTCACAGATCAATGTTAACAGATCACAGATCAAAATTAACTGGTTACAAATCATAGGTCACACGTCTTTATGCACTGATAACAAGGCACATATTTAAGTTTACAGGTAGTTCATATAGTATAGGTCACAAGAAACATTTTGCAAGTCACAAATTATCATGTTGTATAGGTAATAGATCAATGTCTAAATGTCACATGTCATATTCCACAGGTAACAGATCAATGTCTAGAGATCACATATCACAGAGAACTAGTCAAAGTCACATATCAATATCCACAAATCATAGATCAAATAGACAAGTCACATATCATGGGTCACGGGTCACATATCAATATTAACTAGTCACAGATCAGATATCACATGTCTTTGTACACTAATAATAGGTCATAGATTCAAGTTTATGGGCCATAGTTTATAAGTTACAGGTCACGTGTAATAGTTCACGTCACAAGTTATATTGTATAGGTAACAAATCAACCTCCACGAGCCACGGATCCAAGAGAACTTGTCACAGGTCATTGAATGAATATTACAGATAACAATTTACTTGTCACATGTAACAGTTCATGGGTCACATGTCATAGTGGGTCAAAAATCTACCTCACTAGTCACCATTACCCCCATTTGCACAAAAAAATGAAAATGAAAATTAATAAATATTTTACACTATCTCTGTCTTGCAAGCCATTAATTCCAATTCCACTTGATTTACAAGCAGAGTGAATCATAGGCGATGTGTCACCCACATCAACATCGTTCTTTAGACTCATTTCATTTCGAAAATGCTCCAAATCACGATTTCC